CCCCCTCCCCTCCCCCTCCCCTCCCCCGGGACGACGCGACCCCCCCTCCGACTCGCCCCCCCTCCCCGACTCGCGCCGAGCCCCCACGGCGACCTCCACGCTCTGTGCCGGGTCCCGCCACGCCGCTCCCACAGTGCGGCAGTGGCAGTCGGAAGGGAGTGCAGGGTGGTGATGGTGGTGATGATGGTAGTGGTGATGGTGGTGTGGCGGTGGTGGTGGTGTTGGTGGTGATTTTGCGCCGTGTGTTCTCTGGGGCTCGGGCTCCTCCCAGCTGAGTAGGGGGTGGAGCTCACCTCTCCTCCCTCCCCTCCCTCCCCGCCTCTCCCTCTCCTCCCTCCCCGCCTCTCCCTCGCCGCCTCTCCTCCTCCTCCCCGTCTCGCCCACTTCACCCCCCTGCGCCCATTGGCGGCAGTGCCACGCCACCCGCCGCCTCCTCGCCGCGCGTGGCTCCCAGCGGCTGTTGCGCATCACTGGCGCCGTACGTTGGGATTTCTTTCGCGCCGTACGTTGCGACACGGCACAACGGAGCTGCGTTGTGCCGTGTCGCCCTCCCACGCTTATAGGATTGTGGGGTTTTTTTTCTGGTTTGTGGTTGGTCGGTACCGATGTTCGACGTTTCGCTCCACGCGCTGGTAGCTTCTTCAGGAAACGAAATCGAGTTGCTAAACTGCAACACGCTGGTTAAATTTAGATGTAAAGCTTTCGTGACTGCAGGGATTCATATTCTTGGTTCTTTAGGTAAAGTCACGTAGAAGGGAAGTAATAAAATAATAAAAATTCAACATAATCAATTTGAATATGTTTCATGCTGGTTAATGACAATGACATTACGCCAAACAAGACCGCGGAGAAAGCTGTCAACTCTACAGCCCGCTCTTTACAATGCAGTATCTACCGTGTAACGTTTCCACTGCGCCGTCTCACGACGAAGTCGCATCCCTCTCTGCACCTCGCTGACCGTGCCTTGCTCCTTGCAGGTGTGACCCATGCCCACTGTGCCTCGGTTCTTCCTGGCCGTGATCGTCCTCTTGGGCACAGTGGGAGTGGGGGGGGAGATCAACAATAATGATCAAAGTAAAAACCGACAGCTCCCCGGCGTGATCTTCTTGCTCCCCACGCCCGGACACGAGGGATGCAGGAGGAGGCTCCGGCCTCTCCAGCACACGGTGTGTGTCGGACCATCTGAAACGACCCAAATGTGCCGTCAACTTCACGGGCCCCACACCTCGCCGATCAAATCCCTGCGCCACGCAGGGACATTTTCAGTTTCATTTATTAGGTATAGCCCTGTGAGCCATGCGGCTCTTGAATCGGGTGCAACCGCAACAAACAAAAACATGAACAAGAAACATCTTAAAGTGACTACGCGCAAACAGAAAAATCCAGGAAAAAAACAGCAAAGTCTTGCATAAAAAACACCGTATATGCAACGCTGTGTGGAAAAATCCCAGTGGGATGCAAGTCAAACAATAACAACCACAAAACAACTTAGATTAAAGTTATCAGTCTTACTCTGTACTACAACAAACACATATGGCGAAACCAAAACGTTTTCGAAATTACCAAAATAAAGCCATAAAAGCAATATAACAGCGATCATAGGAACTATGATTGAAATTTTACAATAAACAATATACATAACATGTACTACCAAACTTTGCAGCCATAGCTGGCTGCATGAGTCACTCCATAACAGCAGGAGAATCAGTAGGAGTATTACAATTCTTCAATGCACCTTTAAGATCAGCACACTAAATCAAAAGACAAGATCATACTTTGCAGCGGTCATCCGGAGCGAAACATTTGATTTCAGGCCACTGAACAGCAGTGGCAGCTAGGGGTGTACAACTCCTCTAGAGCAGTTTTGAGTGAAGATCTCACAGGTAGTGATCCAAGTTGCAGTTTATTGGCGATAGCATTCCAGACCCTGGGGGCATCAATGACAAAAGCCCTTCCTCCAGTATTTGTACGGCAATAAGGAATGTGAAGCTGGTAAATGAGCGAAGAAGACCTTAGGTCACATTTGTTCTTCGAAACAGAGAGGAGATCCAGCAGGCGTAACAAGCCGAATCGAGCAGGCCGACTCGGTCACGCCGACTCGGTCACGCCGACTCGGTCACGCCGTGACGAACCGATCGGTGATCGTGTTCGCGTGAAGTCTCTCCGTCACACTGGTCATCGCCTCAGCGCTTTGTCAAAAACATGTTCCAAATCAAAATTAAAGAGGTTCTCCTTATGCACCATTTAACAAGTACATAACCACACAGGTTACACTCTCAGGCCTTGTTGACGAAGCCCGCGTTTTCTTTCATCTGATCGTAAAATAATACAAATTATATAGACAATGTTTAGTTGTCCTTCCCCCGCACATTTGATTAGAACGGTTGAATACGTACGGTGCGAAAGAAGTTCAACATAATACACAATACTGTCGACTTTCCCACAACCTGCCATACATTTTATCGACCCTAAGTGATGATCACGACTGATGATGGTGATCACGACTACGATGATGTCACCATCTAGGATTAGAACTCTGATGATCTTCCGAGCATCCATACGTGGAATAGAGCCCCCGCATCGCTGACAAGACACCTCTTGCATGCCGGGATCCGCTTCTGCTGAAACACGTTTTGGAATGCGAAGTCGTCATCTTGAGATGTTTAAAGCGGTCACCTATGGAGCCGCGCTCAGACTCCTCCATTATTCAGGACGGATCATGTCAACAACAACAACAAAACTAGTCTCGTTTGAGACTTTGATTTACGGTCATCTTGCGGACTTCTCGTTCAAGGTTGTCCGTGGCCTGGTGAGCCAACATCCTCGGGTGGCGTCCTCCACACCCCGAGTGGGCTCCACCCAGCGCACGCACACGGAGCTGCTCGGTGGTGGTGGTGGAGTGGTGGTGGTGGAGTTGGGGAGTGGTGGTGGTGGAGTGGGGGAGTGGTGGTGGTGGAGTGGGGGAGTGGTGGTGGAGTGGAGTGGTGGTGGTGGAGCTGGGGAGTGGTGGTGGAGTGGGGGAGTGGTGGTGGTGGAGTGGGGGAGTGGTGGTGGTGGAGTGGGGGAGTGGTGGTGGAGTGGAGGAGTGGTGGTGGTGGAGTTGGGGAGTGGTGGAGTTGGGGAGTGGTGGTGGTGGAGTGGGAGAGTGGTGGTGGTGGAATGGGGAGTGGTGGTGGTGGAGGAGTTCTTCTCCCTTCGTACGGCAACTTTTCGACTGGCCTTGTCGAGGCTGGTGAGTGAGCCGGTGGACTTGGTTCACGAAGTGGCCTGGCCTGTACACACACACACGTGTAAGTCTGACCAAAGCGCGCAGTGCAAGTGGCGTTCCCGTGCGGGACAATGGTTGGAGATTGGCGATCGTCGCGCCCAGGATTCTTCTCCGTACGCGGGCGGTATCGGCCATGCATCGCCATCCTCCTCGCAAAGCATCAACGTCCATTGCGACCTTAGGGCACGGACATATCTCGTTCAGTCGCTTATTCATCGCTGCCGTGAGCTCGTCACCGGCAGGCTGTTGTGGGTCCCCATCGCGCAGCACCAGCTGAGACCCGACGTTATCATGACGCACGTGCTTCGGCACTTGTAAGGTCAACGCCTCGTTTGTTGACCATCTCAGATTGCGATCTCAACTTTGATGTGAAGCAACCGGTCGGCTCAAAACAATCCAGTCCGCCTTGACGATCGAAGACCATGAGCAGAGAGAGACTTCATCGTGGGACGTCCAGCGACTTGGGTGCGCCTCCTGTTGGGCACAGGAGGGAGAGGCAGAGGTTGACTGACCCGTGGAGGTCAGTCACCTTCACGTTGTCAGCTTCAACGTTGTCTCCGTCCGCGTCGTGATGTCCGTCAATAAACATCGAGGGAGCCCGACAATGAGCCAGAAGTTACGTGCGCGCGATCCACACTTTTGCTGCGCCGATAACAGGATACACCCGTGCTTCCGTGCAGATTTGTGTGGAAGGCCTACTACACAAGCTGATGAACAAAAAGTACTACGTTTATTCATAAGTGGACAGCCTTTGGTCAGATAATACATGTACTTACTACCGACAATATGCCAAACAGCCCACAGCGATTACAGGTGTAGTACCATTAATCTAATCTCGATTGGAAACTGATTTCTCGAGAACTGCTTCTTGTTGTGTTTCGTTTGTTGACCTTTCCCCGCACCTCCGATTAGCCACGATTGGCTAAGTACGGTACGAAAGAAGTTCAACCTACATACATACAAAGATCCCCCGTGTAACCTTAACAGAATGTTGGGGCAAGTGCTGTTAGCGAGCACCTATGAAGGCAGGAACGTCACACGAGGGGGTGGGTTGGGGATGGCCAGCAACCACTTCCGGCCGCCTTTGTCTCCCCGGTAGCGATGTTTACTACACAGCGCACCAGGTACTCATTTGAGGCTGAGTCGACCTAGGGGAGGTCCAGGACCCGGTTAAGATAATCATCACCGGTGTTGGTGGCCGTGAACGGGAATCGAACTCGGGTCGCCGGGTTCGTAGCGCAGCGTAGCGCTAACCGCTGTACCACCGCTCCCTTCTGCCTACATACAAAGACAAATATTCCCCGTGTAGCCTTAACAGACTGTTGGGGCGAGTGCTGTTAGCGAGCACCTACATACACACACGTACACGTGCAATTCTCACACGTGACACTGAATGGCTCTATGGTGTGTGTCGAGGGCTCGTGCTCTTCATGCGGCAGCTGTCGAGGAGAGGCCGCACGCTGCAGATGCCGCACAGAGGAGTCGAAGTCGACATCTGCCTCGCTGCGCCTGCGTCTGGGATGTTGACACAAGACGGTGGAGGCACGAGGCTTTGTGGGTCAACAACGTCGGGTGATAACGAGTCGTTCCAGAAAAGCAAGATCCGTTTTTGTAAAGCAGCTTTTTTGTTAAGATTTCCTTGTAAGGCTTTGTTTTGCAAACTGAGTTCAGATGATAATCTACCCCAGATACCCAGAGTATTTCTAGGAAGTTATATTTTCCGTAAAACATA